CAACTAAACAGCATATGACAGGAGGGGAAATAGTTGTAACTAGTGCTGTACCAAACAATTTTCTAATTGATTAATCTAACGATTATTTTTTCGATTAATCGATTATTCTAACAACAAATCTAAAAGTTATTCTGATGTGAGTGCACTGGATATTTAAAATGTTTTCATCAAATTAACAAGAATAGTTCTTTAATATTGTAATATTTTCTTTAATACTTTTTTCATGCACACAAAATATGCAAATATGCCAATTCTTTAACAAAAAAAAAGCTTAAAAGATTTAACATCAACATAAAATCTCAACGAAAGCATATAAAATTCAAGTAAAAGAAATACAGTGCAAGATGTTAACAATCTAACATATGAACTAAATCATGCAAAATTCAAGTCACTCTGGAAAAACTATAATACACATATAATAAACATTTATTTTTTTAATTTAACATATTTCTCAATATATAAAAATTAACAAATATCAAGACAACATCCAACTCTTTGTATTGTAACATCAGTTGTGTAACTAATTTCTTTAAGGTGAAAACTGTTGAAAACAAGACTGTTTTGTCTTATTACACAAATTAAAATCCAGCTCCACGTATTTCTATTGATGTCATTTCCCCACTAGAAAAATGGTGTGATGGAGGTCCATGGAAGGCAAATATGTTTAAATCAAATAAACAAAAGAGGATGCAGTTAAAATTAATAAAAGGTATTCAAGCAACGTTTTGAACATCCAAAACACGTCCAACACTTGTTGGCTGCTTGTGCTTTTTAGGTCAGACGTATGTCGGGAAGCTCCTCTGTTGTTTGAGACGCTGGGGGAACCGTCTGATGGGGGAACACGGCTCGACCTAACACTGGTCTCTGTTTAATGGTGGATGAAATAAAGAAAGTGGTGGTACTTTATTTACTTTGAGTAAGCGAATGTCGTGTTCACAAGATAATTAATCCACCAGATAATTCAGAGGCGGTCTGTTCAGTAAATTTTACTCCAGGAGCTGCGAGGCTGGCTTTCAAGCTTCAGACTGAACTGAACCAGCGGCTGCTGACGTCATTACGTTCCAATGCTGCGTTCAGGACAAGCATGAAAAACTCACCACTCTTATGCCAATACGGTCGCAATGATGCATTTAGGTACCGAAATGGAATTGCATGAACATTCAAGTGGTGGTTATGTAATACAGCGAATCTATAATAAAAAATCTGCGTCGACAAATTTACATAATCGACGTCATTGATTATTTCAACTAATCGGTGCAGCCCTACTTGTGACGTCCATGGCCTACCCCAGTTACCACTACTGTGCATGTGTGTCAAGGACAGAAAGGCAGATGTGGCAGTGGAAGGTATCAAAGCAGTTTGGAGAGAAAAACAAAGTAAAGAAAAAAAAAGATTAATCGTTGCATGTTTAATATATGATGAAGCTTGGTTATTAAGAGCTTTGTATGTTAGGAGTAATATTTTAAATTCTATTCTGAATTTGACAGGGAGCCAGTGGAGAGAAGATAAAACTGGAGAAATATGATCTCTCCTTCCAACTCTCATTAAAACTCTAGCAGCAGCATTTTGGATTATCTAAAGACTTCAAAGCCACTTTCTTTATTTTATCTGACATAAACAGAGACCAGCAGAGGAGGGAAGGCTAGATGCATATCAAGCACTTCAAGAGCAATTTTGACTCGTGTCTGACCTCAAAGTGCACAAGTGTCTAACTTGACGTGTTGGACGTGATTTTGACACTGAAATTACGTTCGGTGTGAACGCCGCAGAACAGTTAGACAAACAGAAGATCATGTCCATAAACCACATTATAAATCCCATCTTTGTTGATCTTCTGTCACTTTATTGCATCTAAATGTTAATTTAAATCTGTGAATTAATATTAAACTGACAAACATACAAGAACAACATCTTAGCTGCATGTCCGTGGAACCACTAAATGTTTGTAGAAAAAAAAAAATTAAACTCAGGTTCATTCAGTTTCTGCTAAAGAAACAATCAACACTATGTGGGTTCTGTTTATTTTTAGGGACGGCACCAAACAGATCCATTTCAACACAGGACAGAAGGAGATCCATACTGCAGAGTACAAACGGCGGGAGTATCCAGACAGCACAGTGAAGACTGTGTACACTGACGGCAGGCAGGAAACACACTACCCAACCGGACAGTCAGGATCAAAGACAAAGATGGAAACATTATTCTGGACAACCGGACATAAAAACATCATTTAATTGGTAAAACCTTCCCAAATAGAGGCCTTTGGACAGTTTGTTGTGATTCTGTGCTTTTCTATTTAATTCACTTCCTGAAAACAGAAGAGTTGATTAACATGGAACTGATTCAGCTTTAAATGTGTAAAGTACTTTTGTGTTTTGATAAAACTGTCAAATATTTATTTCTGTTGAAAGATGTACATTTTTTGTAAACTAAATATTTATCAGCTTTGAGATTCCTCTGGGCTGAATTTTTTCAGAACTTAAAGGAAGAATTCAAGAGGACTGAGATGGTGTTAAAGAAACTTTAATGAATATTTTTATACATTTTAAGGCTGTCTCTCACAAGTCAAGCGACTCAAAAACAAAGAGCCACATCAACTCACTAAAGCCAACTGCAAAAACAACAAAAAGACTGGAGCAAACGTCTAAAATAGAACAGATCAAAACAAACCCAGGAAAAATCACCTGAAAAAGAAGAGATGCAGAATTTATTGTCAGGTTAAAAAAGCTTTAGTAATCAGCAGGTTTGTTCCATTTATTTGAACTCTTGGAAAGTTTCATGGTGAAAAAAAAAATCACATTTGTTTTATTTTTGATGCTGATGTTCCTTACAAAGTCTAAAATCTTAGTTTTTTTAAAAGCAAACATTTGTACCTGTTGTGCTTCAGTCCAGTTCGGCCAGACCTTGGCTGACTAGAGGCAGGTGGACCAGCTCTCCATCCTCGTTAAACAGCTTCACCTTCAGCTCTGGCTCTCGAGACTTGGGAGAAGAAAATTCATGTAAAGTCAGTGTTTAAAAAAAAAAGAGACGCACACAGGAGCTTTGATCTTTAACTTTCAGCTTTTTTAATCTAAGATTCACTTGTAAAATGTTGCAGCTAGTGTGTCTTTAACTAGTTAAACTGAAGGACAAGAAAATCCAACTGGGGTTTGTTTTTGTTTCTTACAACAATAGTTGCTGTCATGCTGCAGTGCAACAGATCGAGCATTTCCTTCACAGCCCTCACGCTCCACTTGGGGCTGTAGGGCAGCACGTCTTCATTCCAGCTGACACTGGGAGCCTTGAAGCCAGCAACTTTGACTTTTATGGCTTGTGATGGAAATTGCAACAGCTTAGCTGGCATCTGCCGCAGCCTGAAAGGAAGTGACAGAAACAGTGTGGGTCTACAACATCTGTAGCTGAGTGGGTTCATCTTAAAGATTTAAAACCAATAATTTAGTTTCTGCTTTCATTGTATTAAGTGCCGTACGTATAAAGTGTCTTTTATATTTATATAAACAATTCAAAGGAGTACTTTAATCACTAAAAAATCTGACAGCTGCAGCTCTAATAGTTAGCATGTCAGCCAATGAAAACTACAATAAAGCAAAATAAATACTGGTCCAACTCATCTATATGTCAACAACTTTACATTCACTTCACAAAGACACCAGTTTGGGTCGGCCTTGTTAGTGGAGCAAAGAAAACCACTGTTTGACCCAACAGTTGAACTTCAACTGTAGTGCAGTAAAATTCTTACTTGCTGAGTGGCAGAGTGTCGTCAGAGCCAAAGTCTACATGTTGGACCAGCATTAAGACGGGGTCCACGCTGGTGATCTTCATCAGTCTGGCTCTGTAGAAGTTGCCATCACTGTACTTAGCCAGGCAAGGACCACCTGGAAAACAGCGTAAAGTGGATACCAGCCTGAAATCTTTCATCACAAAGTTTTCTATTGTTTAGAAAATTATCAACAGCTGCTCTGGGTTTTACATGGATAGTCTGGTCACTTCTAAGGTGATGTTCTGTTACGTAGTTATCAATAGTAAGTACACTATCAGCTGTGACATCAGTCAGAGGGCAGTGTGTGAGAATCAGGGCAGAGGTTAACCAAGTGAGGGATCACTTTTTATTGTTTTTTTCAGACTCCTAAAATAAATAAATAAATGGTGTTTACACCCAGCACAGATAGAAGTGATGGTCTGAAGCTGTTACTGTCAAAGCAGAGCACACCTGCAGACTAGGGCTGTGCGGTATATGCGGTAGACGATAGAAACGGTATGAAGTTGTCCTACGGTAGAAATTTACCCTCTACCTTCATATCGTCAGTTACGTCATCACACGTCATCGCAAACAGGTGCGATTTTTTTTTTGTCTAAATGACTAACTTTACTTGAAGTATTGGTTATACTTATAACATCCACTTTAATTTGATACTGTTAAAAATTGGAGAATTTGCTGTTTAAACTGTTTTGCAATATATAAAAAACATTCTTTTGTACTTCTGTTATGTTCATTTGCACTACAGCAAAAATGCTGGGTTTGATTATGATTACAGTTTTCTGCCAAAAATAAAAGCTCTAAAAATGACATTTTTTTTGCTTTTTATGATAATTTTCTACCGCGATATATATCCGTTACCGTGAAGGGATTCAATTTATACCGTGATATGAATTTGAGGTCATACCGCCCAGCCCTACTGCAGACGTAATGAAAAGTGTAGTCAAAGAAAGATGGGCATAAAGGGGACAGCTGCTCAACACCTCTCATCTAATGGTAAATATCACTTGCTGTATATGAATTACGTGAATTATTGTTAATTAATGAAGTGAGCCAGCAGCATGGTTCTAAGGCTGAGACATTTCCATCTTTTTAAGGTTGTGTTTAATAACCATTACTGTAAACTAGGGGTGTCCTGATACAACTTTTTCTCTTCTGATACGATACAGATCTTGCAGCCTCGAGTATTGGCTGAGACCGATACGCTATCAGAACGTATCCCACATACTTTAATTTATTTTGTAGTGTATAATATTAAGCCTTGCTTAAGGCAAACTGTAAACTAGTCAACATGAGAAAACCAACCAATTTATTATTAACCAATAGTTTACATAAATTATTATTTTTTTTACATACACATAAGAACATTCTACAATTAAAATAAATAAGAAAATGGACTTCCGGTCGTGCGATGTAATGAGAGGACGCAAGCGAGAGGGCTCCAGGTTAATCTTGTATTTCCTTCCTATTCCATCAACCCTTACTTTTCATTTTCGACTTATCAACATTGGGTTGTATTAAGACTTTATCTCCCAAAATGAGCAACTCTAAGAATTCTAAACCAACCACAGGGACTCAAACTCCTGCTACACATGCTGCAGGGAAGCTAGCTTCGTTTTCAGCTAGCACMCCTTCGACTCAAGCTACACCTGGTGAGCCCGCCGCTGTCGCTGGAATTACGATGGATCACCTGTTGGCAGAATTTGCAAAACAGAGGACATCACTCAGGGAAGACGTGTCCCTCCTTATTAAGGAAGCAATCAAACCAATACAAAGCTCACTGGACTCACTTCAATCTACAGTGAACTCTTTTCAGAACCGCCTCTCCTCTGTGGAATCAATTGCCGGTGATAACTTTGAATGGCTGACAGCAGCAGATTCCAACATAAAAGTGCTTCAAATCCAAAACCAGTCGCTTTTAGACCAGGTCGACGATCTCGAGAACCGATCAAGGAGGAACAACCTCCGTATCCTGAATATCACCGAAGGTAGTGAGCACGGTAAAGATCCACTTAAGTTCATCTCGGAGCTGCTGATGAACGCGTTTGGCCCGGAGGTTTTTCCTACGCCACCCGACTTGGAGAGCAYACCGGACCCCAACTCTCAGATCCAGCCAAAGGTCTTCACCACGTACATTCCTGGTTTGTTTCAATAAGTTCCAGCAGAAGGAGGCTGCACTGCGCTGGGCCAGGAGCCACGACATCAAGTACCAAGGTGCCACTCTGAGGATTTACCAAGACATCAGCGTGGTGCTCGCAAAAAAGAGAGCTGCATTCAACAGCGTGAAGCAAGCTCTGTACCAGAAGAACGTCAGGTTCCACATGCTGTACCCGGTCTGGCTACGCGTGACACATGGAGATGCGCTGTTTACCTTCGACTCACCGGAGGAGGCACAAAAGTTCTTCGAGCAGCACTTCAGCTAAAAACAGAAGTTGTATTTCAGGCTAGCGGTGGGTACCCACAGCTGAGAGGCGCAAGCTAACCGCCTGAAACCTTATCTTAACTAGCGACTCTAACAAAAATGAAGGTACTGTTATTTTCAGGTGTTTCTTCTTAGTTGGTTTACAAAATATTGTAAAATATTACACGTTTCAATTTTACAAATGACACCTCTTCATTATTACTGGGTTATCTACAGCATCTAAATGACTGAAGGAGTTAATACCCTATACATTACTGGGAGCCTTCCAAGGCAGAGATGGACAAATAATCTTCCAGAAGTTTTCATGGACAATATTTAGCCTGCGGCTTACCTCAGCAAGAGGGATAAGTATAGGCATTGTTCTGTTTATGTTCATGTTGAGGGTTTTTGGGTTATGGGAAGGGACACCATCATATTCTGTTTTCACTTCTCAGGAAAATAGTAAAGTTATGTGTTACATTATACGTTCTGCTACTTTATGTTGTTGTTAAGCGAAGAGAAATGGACTGAGCTATGAGAACCCCCCCCCCTTCCTTCCTTCCTTCCTTCCTTCCTTCCTTCCTTCCTTCCTTCCTTCCTTCCTTCCTTATCTGTCTTTCAGACATAAATTGAAAATATAAATATAGGAGGTACTGATGTGAGATGGAGATGAGCTGGAACGTCAAAGGCTTAAATGGACCAGTAAAAAGAGCTCGAATTTTTAATCACCTTAAGCATTTAAAGTGTGATATCGCATTTCTCCAAGAAACTCACCTACTTGTTAAAGATCAAGTCAGACTTAAAAAAGGCTGGGTGGGCAACATATTTCATTCTAATTTTAATTCCAGAACACGTGGTACTGCCATTTTAATTCATAAAAAAAATCCAGTWCAACCCCAAAACAATAACCTCTGACCCACTTGGTCGATTTGTAATGGCTTCTGGGCTTCTATATTACAGACCTGTCATTTTGATTAATATTTACGCCCCAAATTGGGTGACAAAAAATTCATTGAAAAGATTATTTTACATATCCCAGACTTRGACTCACAACAATTAATTTTTGGAGGAGACCTAAATTGTGTAGTTAACCCTACAATGGATTGTTTCCAATCCTAAATCCACAAATATTTCAAAAATGGTTAGATTACTGTTAGATTTTATGGGCCGTACACGGGGTGTTGACCCCTGGCGTTGTTTATTTCCTAAGACCAAGGCCTTTTCTTTCTTTTCCCCAGTCCACTATTCATATTGCAGAATAGATTACTTCTTTATTGAGAGGTCTCTTCTTCCTTTTGTATCGAATGTAAGAGTGAGCTTAAGGTGAATTAAGCTTTTCCCACATCTCTCATACACAAGGTTGAGGAAACTTTTACCAAGGTATTTCTCATTACTTGTTAATATCTTGACTGTGCGAAGTGAAAAGTGACACAATAAGTGAACGTTCAGATGAGTTC